CCATTCCTCCACTCCCCTAGATATATCACTTAAACATCCCTTTTCTTAAACTAATCAATCAGTAACCTAACCTATTTCCACCCACTTTCCTACAAAATTGCCATGCACAACAATTCTTAATATCTTTAATCCACTGCCCACTCTACTAATATATATATATATATATATATATATATATGTGTGTGTGTGTGTGTGTGTGTGTGTGTGTGTGTGTGTGTGTGTGTTCCGTTATATATATATAAAAAAAGGACAATGACTTTAAATTTATAATCCATATAATATCTTCTTTGATGTCTTTCCACTGGATTGTTGAGTCCATCATCCATAATAGGGTAACATAGCTTCCTGATGCAACAGTTTGTTCAAAATCTTCAATCATCATCTGCCCCCATCAGTAGTAAATATCCTCATATATATATAAAAGTAAAAACAACCACCCGAGTGACATTATGATTATATTCCATATAGTTGTAACTGTGGCTTTCATCAGGATTATTAATTCCCATCATCCTAGTGGGTAACAACCAGATCTTCTGCATGCCCCAGCGTAACTCTCTTGCCTTGTAGCTCAGTATAGTTATAATATATTTATCGATACAAGAAAGAAATCCAAGGTAGATAATTCAAATCCAACAATTTAAGGCTCTTTTCACATCCCAAAATTACGGCATTGCAGAGGTCTGTCACAGTCCTCAGGATAATATTAACCAATACTTCGCCTCCACTATCTTTTCGCATATTCATTCTTTTTTTTTTTTTAAATCACTGGCTTCACTGTTGCTTGATTTAGAAATTTCTATTTTTATGAGACCTATTTCTTTTTTTCTTTTCTTTTTGTGGGTTTAATTTCCATTCTGGTTTCCTTTCTACAAGTTGTATATCAACTGATCGGTTTTCATTCTGCTTTATAAGTTGGTCTTGTTGATTTTGTTTTTGTATCTCATATTTCTTCTTTGCCAAATGTATATCAGCTAATTGGTTTCCATACTTGTCTTTGACTTGATGAATCATCACGTTAGAGTCAGATGCCACTTCTCTCATATTTGTAGATAATCCAGCTGGGGTATCTAAAGAATCCAAAGGCAATTTGTCTACCACAACCTCTGTAATTCGATGTTTTCCCTTTATTTCCAACTCCTTCTGCTTATCCTGTATTATGCCTAAAGATGTTAAGTTCATTTTCAAAATTTTTTGATAAAATTCTTCTGCTCTTTCAACAGTATTTAGTTGGTATCTTTCTCCTTGATATCTCAATGTTATACCAATTGGGGCATCCCACCTAAATGGAATATTTCTTCTTTTTAACTCAGTCACCAAAAAACCAAATTTCTTCCTATCCGTTAACATCTTGGGCGGGAGCTCTTTGTAGATCCAAATCTTTCTTCCATACAATTGCAAAGTAGAATTAAAGGAATTTTGCACAATATTATTCCTAATTTCTTTATCTGTAAAATAGATCACATCTCTAGGCAATTGCCTTTGCTTTGCAATCCAGGAATTTATTCTATAAACTCTGTCAATCCTACAAAACACTTCCTCAGGTTGAACCTTTAAAATCCCAGCCAGAATTTCAGAAGATATTTTTCTTAAATCATCTCTATTATTTTCCTGCAAACCTCTCAGTCTAATCGCATATTCAGTGAAATTATATTGCATCATTAAAACTTCTCTTTCAATCCTCTGTTGCAAATTTTCTACATTACCAGTCTTTTGATCAGCCTCCATTTTAGGTTTTTCTTCTGAGCTATTATCTTGAGTATTTGTCAAATCATTTTCAATTTTTTGGATTCTATTGTCCAAATTATCCTGAGTTTCTTCCATTTTAGACTCTAATAACTTAGTATTTGCATCCAACTGGATCATAAATTCTGAAAAACCGTTAGCCATTTTTAAAATCTTTCGCTCCAAAAAATCAAACTTAGATTTCACCAATTCTTTAATTTCCTGCTTAAAATTTTCAAGATGCTGATTCACAATTTCATCCCTTCTTACAATCTCCTCTAAAAGAAATTCTATTATGTTAAAATCAGGTTTCTGAGACTGGAGACTTAAGACTTGTTCTTGTAATTTGTTAATGGGGGAATCCCCCCCACTGCTTGTTTGTCTGACTTTATAAGTCTCAATGCCATGTTTCCGCCCAGACAAACTTTATTAAAAAAGAGAAGAAAACTTCTTTCCAACCAAGAGCAATATCAGCTCTCCAGGAAAAAAAAAACACGAAAGTGAAGTATTGTCTTCAATTGTAGCCAAAGGTATTTATTCCGCTACATTGTAATAATAGAAAACGGAAGGACTTTCCCTTTCAGCCTCTCCTCAAGCCGCGGCAGTCGCCATTTTAAAAATCTTTTTTTCTTTCCTTTTCCTTTTTTTTTTCTTTCTTAAATAGCTTTTGAAAAATAAGTAAAATACTTGCGATTCAGGATCACAGGTCCAGCTCACGTCTTCTTTAATTACTCTGTTAAATTTGCAGGCTTGCTCTTGTTACATTACCATTGTTACCAGTTTATGTGTTAATATTTTTACTGTCCTTTCTTTGTTTTGTAAATGATAAACCCTGACAATACACTGTATTCAAAATGTTTAAGAATAATAATAATAATAATAATAATAATAGAATCTCCATCTAAGATTTTCAGAGTCTGTGAGATAGGTAGTCCTCACTTAGCAACCATAATTGGGACCAGCTACTCCATTGCTAAGCACCACATTCGTTAAATGGAAAATCATGTGACTGTGATAGACTTACATCATTTCCTATTCAATCATTAAGCGAGTCACTATGGTCATTAAGTGTAACATCACACGATCATGACCTATGATTTTACTTCAGCATTCTCTATTAACTCTGTCACAAGCAGATTGGGAAGTGTGCAAATGGCTTTCATGTAACCAGGGGTTCCTGCAATGGTCATAAATGTGAAGAGTGATTGCAAAGCTCTTTTTTTTATACTATCATAAATCTAAATGGTTGCTAAATGTGGCAATCAGTAAGCAAAACTAAATATAAATGTGTCAGATACAATATTACAACATCATTTATCCCCGTATACAGTCCTTGACTTACAACAGTTCATTCAGTGACCATTGCAATTTAATAACGGCACTGAACAATGTGACTTATGTGACGTTTTTCACAGTTACGACCTTTGCAGAATCCCCAAAATCATGTGATCAGAATTCAAATGCTTGGTAACTGGTTCATATTTATGACCGTTGTTGTGTCTCAAGGTCATATGATCACCTTTTGTGACCTTCTGACCAACCAAGTCAATGGGGAAGCCAGATTCACTTAACAACGGTGTTACTAATTTAACAATTGTGGTGATTCACTTAATCGTGGCAAGAAAAGTCATAAAATGGGGCAACACTCACTTAACAAATTTCTTACTTAGCAACCTAAATTTTGGGCTCAATTGTGGTTGTAAATTGAGGACTACCTATATAGCATTTAATTAATAAATGTTATTCTAAAAATCATAGTATTTTTGTTTATGTTTTGCTTTGCTTTAATGGAGAAATATTTTGTATAAAAATAATTTTGCCACTAGAGGACAATGTTGCATAAATGTACTCTTACAACGTTCTTTCTCTTATCCATGTATGGCTATAATAATAAAGTTGATAACTAGAAGATCCTAAAACCATAATTTAAAAAAAAAACTGCTCATTTTTAATCAGGAGAAGCTAGCTTTGCTGTTTGGCTACTTTTCTATCTCTCAGCCCTTTCAGACCAAGAAACTAAATATACTAGATAAAAGAAAGAATGATATCTTACATTCTTTTAACCAATCTAGAAAACATTCTTTTCTTTCTTCCCCACCTTTAATTGGCCATCATTATTGCTGATTTGCAAGTTGCTTATCACACTCCCAAATCGTAAGTCTTTATGAGACCATATGAGACTTAACCTTTATCTGCTTCTATTATCTCATTGCATGGCAACAAACTAAATCGCTGTATTTAAATTTCCATTCACAACCTTTTAAAAACAAACACAGCTTTTATTTTTAAAGGGAGAGGCCAAGAATGAATGTAGAGCTGGGAGAAATGTAATGTGATGTGTGCCTTTTGTGCAGTGGTTCTGCAGTAGAACAACAGAAGTGATACAGTGAGATAATAAAGCCTAGGGGTAACTTTTTTGATGGAGGTTGCAAATATGTAATTATACAGATACATTTAGTTTAGATCTCTAATGACAGCCTCAGGCATTCTGCTACTTCTGACAGTGCAACAGCTGACTCAAGCTTTCATAAACCAATCTTCCTGCTGCACTGATAAGATAGATAACATAACTTTTTTAATTATAATTTTTTTACTGTGAGCACGCTGGCCCACATTAAAAATGAAATTCTGTTGCCTGCTCTCAAGAGAAAGAGTATATCTACCCAAACACATATGTGACACACATGTACACATGCTATGTGCATGCATATAATACCTGCACCATACATATATACATATATACATACATACATACATACGTGTGTGTATGCGTTTGTATGTATGTATATGTATGGGATAGATAGATAGATAGATAGATAGATAGATAGATAGATAGATAGATAGATACCACTGTCCATTTAGAATAAATAGCAGAAAGAGAAAACGAGAGTTCAGAAGGTTGATGCTATATGGAACAAAACTCATCATATCACGATCATGTCTGTGTAGCTAGAAATATATGTTCTTTGCATACATGCAGATTTTGCATATTTAATGTGTGGATGAGAAGAACACAGTCAATGTTTAATTGATTGGTGAGGAAATAGAAGGATGAGGTCTGATTTGGCAAATCTTTTTTTTCTGTCAGGTTACATGGAAGGTATCACTCTCCTCAATATTAGCTAATGGATGATTCTTAGCATTGCTATAGAGAACAAGATTGTTTTTTCTATTTCATATATTACAGTCTAATTTCAGATGGTGTAATTTCAGATTAGTTTCTGGTTTATTTTCCAATAAATCATCGTCATTTATGATATGCTTCTTTTAAAAATTAGGTAGAAGAAGAAGAACCAACTGGGTTTATTCGTTTGGAAAAATTTCTTCCTATGATGACTAGAGTGTTAATGGAAAGAAGGTAACAAACAGAAAGAGGTATTTCAGTTTGTGAAACTTGGTTATGCATATATGAGAGATTTTTATTTTACACAAATCCAATTTAAAAACCAAACTTCTCAGTAATCAAATAAATGTAAAATATTTGTGGCAACCATGAAATGGGTTTGGATTTATTACAGTGTCAGTACTATGTTAAATTGGCTGTAGTTTTGTTCAAAATACATGGCAATCCCTTCAGTCAGGAGAGAAATCTGTGATCCTCCATATATATTGCTAAACCATTAATAGCAATACCACCCAATATTCTCAGTAATGCAGATACTGAGAGTTATACTTCAATAACGTCAGAAAGTCATATATCATCTATTGCAGAGCTATATTAGATATGGCAAATAGTTTCATTTTTCTAGAAATGTCAGATTACCACAAGATTCACAATATTTATTTTCTAAAGTAGGCATTTATTGAAATTGTTCTTGTGGATTATTTGGAGTTTTTAGTTTTATTTAGTTTTATTTTTTGTCTTATTCTTTTTTTATGGTGAATATTTTACTTTGCTCAGGTAAAACTCACATAAATTACCAATAGATAAACTGCCAAGAATTGATCTAGATTGCAGCAGGATAGAAATCAAATAAGTAAAACTGATTCCACAAACAAATTTGCCGGATTTTAAAAGTTTTAAGCTTTAAAATTTATGGTAAAAAGAGTTGGAAGGCTGTTTCAAAGTAGCAGTCAAATCTTAGATACACAGATTATCAATAACTATTTTATTAACTGTGTTATTTCAGATACCGTCCGATTCCAGAAGATGTTCTTTTACGTGCTTTTGAGGTTTGTATCAATCTATGCATGGGGAAATTTCTTAAACTTCAAGGCAATAAGAATAAAATTTACATTCAGTGTTCCATTTTATAGGTTTTGGATCAGAATAAATCTGGACATCTAGCTAAAGATGATTTGATAAAGTATATGACTGAAGAAGGTAAAACTTTAGCAAAATATTTACTAAAACTAATTTTATTTGCTTAGGAAAAAATTGTTCTACTCTGCATGTGAATTTGAGTGTATCTGTGTGATAAAGAATACAGGTAGACCTCAACATACAACTGTAATGGAGTCTGCCATCACAGTTATATGTCATAATGGCTTCAAAACCAATTGTATGACATTTTTTTCTGGCAGTTGTTTTTGTGGAAAATTCGCTTAACAACTGCCACCATAGTTGTTAAGCAAATCTGCAGTCATTAAGCAAACCAAGGGTTTATGGGCACAATTTTGCTGAAAACAGGAAGTGCCATTTTTAGCAAAACTGTCATAAAACACAGTTGCTGCCAACAGCTGTAACTGTGGCTGTAGTGCTGAGTGCCTGAAGTTCGGTCATGTAAACCTGAAGAGGGCCTGTTGGAACCTTGAACCAGGTCATAAATTCCCTTTTTCAGGTGGTTTGGAACTTCAAACACTTGCTAAACCACCAGTCGTAAGATGAGGACTACCTGTATGAAGATATGCTTAGCAGCCATAGGCCTTAGAATGGAAGAAAGGCAACCTGGAGGTTGAATATGATACTACCCACAATCTTGTGGAAGTACCTAGAATTCTGCAAATGTATATTGCTCCTGGTCACAAAAAAGTATGCCCATCCCTATCTGAAGAATAAACTCCAACCTCATAAAATAGTGCTAATGCCTTCTAATTATCAATCCAGAAGTATATTCAGTAAGCTCCACATTATTTCAAATTTGTGTGCCTTACAATTTTTTTTATTAATATAAAAAAAAGAAAACCAAAAATGCCAATCCATTTCAAGTTGTATAAAATCACTGAGCTTAGGAGAATAATTGCAAGCACACAATAAGGAAAAAATATTATATACATAAAAATGTGAAATCACAGCTGCCAGTTCTTTAGTTGGTATTGGCCTTCATTTTCATCAAGTTCTTCCCAAGTATCTAGGACAGTGATGGCAAACCTTTTTGGCGTTGCGTGCCAAAAGTCAGAGCGTGCTCGCACTACCGTGCTCACGCGTGCCAGCACCCATAATGCAATACGCACCCCATTTGTGCATGCGCACATGACCCTCACACCACGCATGCACCCTACACTGCGCATGCACCCTCCTGCACATGTGCCCCCACTTTTTCCAAGGGTGCCGGCGCGCCTCTTACCGGAGGACAACCAGATACCGTAGTGTTCCCTGGCAAGACAGCCGTTCCCCGGCCGGCGGCAGTGCTCTGAGCCCCGTCATGTGCCAGCTGGGGAAGCTCCGAACATGCAGCCTTGCCTGGGCTCCTCTCCACTGGGTGCTGGGCTTCCCGGTAAGCCCCCTGTAGCAACGCGAGAACCGCCGCCCCCAGGGGCAATGGGGTGGTGGCTGCAAGGATGGACGAGCCGGGGCTTTCCTGTCTCTCCCCGCATGAGCAGGCTTCTGGCATGGATCCAGGCCTGGGGGGGATTGAAGCCCCAGCACACCCATCCTTTCCGCTGCCACCCCATCGCTGCTGGCGCTTCTCACGCTACCGCTTCTCACTCAGTGGCAGGAGCAGCTGGTGGCAGGCTTCAATCCCTCCCCCAGAGGCCTGAAATGCACCTTTTTGGCCTCCGTACGCCCCATTTTTGGATTTGGAGAGGAAAGGGTTTTCGGGCAGCAGCACTGCGATCCTCTCCCCGAATCAAAAAAGTGCATTGCATTTCAGGTGGCGGATCTGGCCAAGAGGAAAGAGAAGGTGAGTCTGCGAAGAAAGAAGAGGAAGGCGCGTGGTTCTGCAATGTCCACCGGACAACCACGAAGGAAAGCCTTTTCAGGCAGCAGCACTGCGATCCCCTCCCTGAATCCACCCAAAAAGGCTTTTCTCCTTGGTTCTCCAGTGCACATTGGAGAGCCGTGCACCCTCCTTCTCTGCAGACTCACCTTCTCTTTCCTCCTGGGCCAGGAGCAGAAGCCAAACGCCCTCCGCCTGGGTCGCCTGAAAAAGGGGCAGGCAGGGCGGCTAGCCGCCTTGCCTTATGCCCCGTGCGCAGTGCCTGAAACTGTGGTGCTCTTGTTTTGCCTGCGTATGCCTGGTTTTTGGATTTGGAGAAGAAAGGGTTTTCGGGCGGCAGCACTGAGATCCCCTCCCCGAATCAAAAAGGTGCACTGCATTTCAGGCGAAAGATCTGGCCAGGAAGAAAGAGAAAGTGAGCCTGCGGAGAAGGAAGAGAAGGGCAAGCAGCCAGCTGCGTGCTCCATTTTTGGATTTGCTGGAAAACACTTTCCTCTGTGGTTCTCCGGTACACATTGCAGAACCGCGCACCTTCCTCCTCCTTCTCCGCAGAAGGCCAGATCCACCACCTGAAACACAGTGCACTTTTTTGATTCGGGGAGGGGATCTCAGTGCTGCCGCCAGAAAACCTTTTTTTCTCCAAATCCAAAAACCAGCGACTGCTCCTCCTCCCCCTGCCAGCCTCACTGTAAAACTTGAGTTTGCCTTACGGGGGGGAGGGGAGAAAAAGTCCTGATTGGGGGGGGGAATCCTCTTTGCAGAGGCTCCTCCTCTTCCCTCTGCAAGCCTCACTGTAAATCTCGAGGTTTGCCTTATGGGGGGAGAAAGGTCCTGGGGGGAAATATCCGTGGTGCCAGTGACTGCAGCCGCACTCTGGAGAAGCCCCTTTGGAGCCGGTCAGGCAATTGCCAGCATGGTCTGCGCTGGCGGGGCGCAGGGCTTGCCTACATAACTTTGCTGGCAAAGAGGCAGCGGCAGAAGGCCGTTTGTGCCAGCAAAGAGGCAGTGGCGCCAGCAAACTTATGTGAGCAAGCCCCTCACCCTGGCTCTGTGAGTCTGCAGAGCTGAGCATCTGACATCCTGCTTCTCTTGCGCTGGCCACCACCTTGCACACGGCTCATCGGCACTCCAACGGGGCTTTTCCAGAGCGTGGCTGCAGTCATGGCACAACAGACGTCCCACCAGGACCTTTACTCCCCTCCCCCCCACCGGTAAGGCAAACACTGAGATTTACAGTGAGGCTGGTAGGGGGAGGAGTAGGAGGAGCTGTTGCTGCGTCTGCAAAGAGGATTTGCCCCCAACCAGGACCTTTCTCCCCCCCCCTGCCCCAAGGCAAACCCCAAGATTTACATTGAAACTGGCAGGGGGAGGAGGAGCCGCCCCCACCTCTGCAAAGAGCATTCCCCTCTTTCTTCCCCCCCCATAAGGCAAACCTCGAGCAGCAACAGCAGTGCAGGCATAGAGGCAGTGCTGGTTTGCTGGCACAAACGGCCTCCAACGTGGATCCCAGAAAGCAGCTGTCAATGGCATGGCTGGTGTGCATATGTGCTAAGAGAAGCTGCCCAGTGGACATGCATGTGCCAGAAATAAACTTCTGGTTCCGGTGCATGCATGTGCATCAGCCACCTAGTCTTCTGATTACTGGCGAGCATGCGTGTGGGTCGATCAGCTAGCCAGCTGATCTTCTGGTTTCTGGCACAGCCGCATGCGTGAAGTCCTGCTGATCGTCGCACGTGCATGCGCACCAGTAACCAGAAGACTAGCTGGCTGGTGCGCATGCGTGTGCCAGAAACCCGGAAGAGGAATGGGCACCACTGTGCGTGCCAGGCAACATGGCTCTATGTGCCACCTGTGGCACGCGTGCCATAGGTTCGCCATCACGGATCTAGGATGTCATAATGTATTGGTGTAATGTATGTCCACATCTAAGCAGTGTGGCTATTTATAATTGACAGATTAATTTTGCCATTACCACCTTTGTCAGATTAATCAAAACAAAGCAATTTTCATCCATTACTGAACTTTCAGCAAATCTGAAATGCCACTGAAACTTTAAAAATAAATTATGTTGGGGTGGAAAATAGCATTTTGGGTAAATAATGATTAATAAGTTGGCAAAAGAATGGCAAGAATACGTTACAACATATTATGATATAGCTAGTATTTTGTAGACAATTTTCAATGAAATAATTTGGGTAGAATACCTTTGCAGACATTCTAAAATATGAAATACTTGCTGGTATGTTACATGTTAAACATTTTAAATTTGAATTCAATTATGGTATATGAAACGGGTAGTGTCAGTATAGGATTCTCAGTAACTAAGTTTTTTCCCCCTAAATTTCCATTTATGTTTACTGCTTTTGAAATAGTTTGAAAACCCTAAAATACCAATAATTTAGAAGGTTTATATAGTCAGAAACACTACAGCAAATTGTTGATTTTTGGCTGCAGGTGAGCCTTTTACACAGGAAGAAATGGAAGAAATGCTTTCAGCAGCAGTAGATCCAGAAACAAATACTGTTCGCTACAAGGACTATATTTCAATGATGGTTGTAGATGAAAACTAAGAATGTTATTTAATTTGTGGGTCTCAGTTTAGTGTTTTTACATTAACTTCATTGTAGTTACTGTATTTGCTGTTGGGCACAAGCATAATAATAATTACACTGAAATTTATGAAAATACTATATTGTTTATTTTGTAAAATACAAATATTACTGAATATCTTAAAGTGTCAATCTGACTGTAAACTGAAAATAGTAGAATTCAAAATTTGCAAATAAAATACTAATTGAGTAATCTGCATGACAATTCACAAGACAGTTGCATTGAATTATTAGAAAAATGTGCAAGAAAAATGTGCAAGATTGAAATCTAAGGCTGAAATAATGGACTTACTGAAAAATAGGCTCTGTTGAATATGCTTACTGAAAAATAAGCACAACTTATTTTCAAGAAATAAAGCATAGGATTATAATGCACACTGCATAGGATAATGTAATTATAGTACTGAACAGGAAAACAATTTAAAATTAACTCAAGAAATAACGCAAACAGGACTTCCGGTTTGCTTTTTGTAGCCGCCAGACGGTCCCTTTTTTGTGTTTTTTGTGTTTTCTCCTTCCTGGAGATTTGATCTCGTTTGGAAAGAAGCTTTGCTTTTTTTTTCTTTTCTAAAAAAGTTTGCCTGTGTGGAAATATGGCGTTTAGGCTTACAAAGCCGGACAAACAAGCAGGGGGGGGGGGATTCCACCATCCACAAACTATATGAACAAGTTCTTAACTTACAGTCTCAGAAAGCTGATTTTAATATAATTGAATTTCTTCTGGAGGAGATTGTAAGAAGGGATGAGATTATGAATCAGAACTTTGAGAAATTTAAGCAGGAAACTAAAGAATTGGTGCAATTAAAGTTTGATATTTTGCAACAAAAGATCATAAAAATGGCTAATGGTTTCTCAGAATTTTTGATCAAGTTGGATACAAATATTAATCTATTAGAGTCTAAAATGGAGGAAACTGAGGATAATTTGGAAAATAAAATAGAGAAAATTGAAAATGATTTGATAAACACTCAAGACAATAGTTTAGAAGAAAAACCTAAAATGGAAGCTGATCGAAAGATTTGTAATGTAGAAAATATACAACAACGTATTGAAAAGGAAGTTTTAATGATGCAATATAATTTTACTGAATATGCGATCAGACTGAGAGGATTACAGGAAAATAACAGAGATGACTTAAGGAAAATATCTTCTGAAGTTCTGGCTGGGATTTTAAAGGTTCAACCTGAGGAGGTATCTTGTAGGATCGATAGAGTCTATAGAATAAACTCCTGGATTGCAAAGCAAAGGCAATTGCCTAGAGATGTGGTGATTTATTTTACAGATAAGGAAATAAGAAATAATATTGTGCAGAAATCTTTTAAGTCTACTTTGCAACTGTTTGGAAGAAAGATTTGGATATATAAAGAACTACCGCCTAAGATGTTATTAGAAAGAAAGAAATTTGGTTTTCTGGTGGCTGAGCTTAAAAAAAGAAGTATCTTATTCAGATGGAATGCTCCAGTTGGTATAATATTGAGATATCAAGGAGAAAGATATCAATTAAATACTGTTGAAAAAGCGGAAGAATTCTATCAAAAATTTTTAAAAATGAACTTAACATCTTTATGCACAACACAAGATAAGCAGAAGGAGTTAGAAATAAAGGAAAAATATTGAGTTACAGAGGCCTTTGTAGATGAATTGCCTTTGGATTCTCCAGACACCTCAGCTGGATTATTTATAAATAAGAGAGAAGTGGCATCGGATTCCAACGTGATGACTCACCAAGTTACAGGCAACTATGGAAATCAACTAATTGATACACAACTTACAGAAAAGAAATATGACTCACAAAAGCAAAACCAACAAGATCAAGTTATAAATCAGAATGAAAACCGATCAGTTGATACACAACTTGCAGAAAGGAAATTAGGATGGAGATCAAACCCACAAAAAGAAAGGAAAAAGAGAAACAGGTCACAAAAATAAAAATTTCTAAATTAAGCAACAGTGAAGCCAGTTATTTTTAAAAAATACATGACTGAATATATGAAAAGATGGTTGAGGCGAAGTAGTGGTTAATATCATCCTGAGGAGAGTGACAGACCTTTGGGATGTGAAAAGGGCCTTAAATTGTTGGATTGGAATTATCTATTTTTGGTTTTCTTTTCATTGATTAACGTATTATATCTATGCTGAGTTATAAGGCAAGAGAGTCATGCTGGGGCATGCAGAAGATCTGGCTGTTACCCCATTATGACGATGGGAATTATTAATCCTGAAGAAACCCACTATTACAGATATTATATGGATTACAATTATAAAGTCACTCGGGTGGTTGTTTATATATATATATATATATATATATATATATATATATATATACATACATACATACATACACACACATATATATATATGTATGTATGTATGTATATATATATATTCATTATTGATGGGGGCAGATGATAATTGAGGATTTTGAATATTCTGTTGCAACTGGGATGTTATGTTACCCTAATCCAGATGATGGAGTCAGCAATCCAGTGGAAAGACATCAAAGAAGATATTATATGGATTATAAGTTTAAAGTCATTGATTTTGTTTATATAAGGGAATACTTTTTAGTAGGATGGGCAGAAGAACAAAGATATTAAGAATTGTTGTGTATGGTAATTTTGTAGGAAAGTGGGTGATGACAGGCTAGTGTATTGATTGTATAGATTAAGAAAAGGGATGCTTAAGAGATATATTTATGGGAGTGGAGGAAACGGATAGAGTAGAATAAATGTAAAACTACAATTCATGGGGAAGGCTGCTTTGAAATGTCATGTTAATATACACAAAAGATTAAATGTTAAAGTAGGATTTATTATATAGTTCTAAAGTGGAAGGTTGTTTTTATATATTAATACACAGACATAAGTAAGGGGGAGGAGAAAAAAGGGCAGATTATCGATAAATTGGGAGTTATAATAATATTACTGTGTTAAATCAGAAGTTATTATATAGTGTTATAAAGGAATGTTATTTTGAAGTGTATGGTAAGAGGGGGAAGTAATAATATTAATAATATCATTAGAAGTAAGGGTCAGTATTTGGAGGAGGGAGTTAGGGGAATGCTAAAATATTATATAATTGTTATGTATTAGGTTTTTATTTTGAAGAAGTCACAGGGGGGATGGGGTGGTGGGGGGGTTAGGGAGGAGGGGGGAAAAGGAGGAAAATTTGTAATTGAAAACTTTTTCAATAAAAAAAAAGAAATAACGCAAACAAAATAACGCAAACAAAACAAAAGGAAAAATAGAAGTTCCAAATGTAGTAAAAACAAAGAAATTCTACAGTTGTGCTGAATTTAAAACAAACCTCTCAAAACATTAAATGTTGACATTCAGGCTTCATTAAAAAATGGTTAATAAGTAAACTCAAACCTTGTTTTATGTTAAAACTTGATATCTGAGCTGGGGAGAGTAGAGGTGCTTCTGCTATTGAGTTTCTAGAACTAAAAGCAGATGTCCTCACCTGAGCAAATCTTTTCCCTTTGTTCCAATAAAAGGAATTTGTTGTCTTTCAGCTATGTTGAGATGTCTCTGTTTGTTCTGTGTGTGTTCATTTGGGGGAAGTGTTTTCCATTTAAATATATTCACCTGATTTAATTGTGTTTATCTTAAAGATACCTTCAAAGGTTTCAAACATCATGGTTTTTTGTTGATATCCTTTAATATTTATCTAGGAATAGGCTTTAGGGGCCTTATTCCAGAGGCCGCTCTATTCTTTTTTAAAACTTTCACACAGATGCACACATACAAACTTGCAAATAAATATCTTCCCAAAAGTTAACAAGCTAAAGACATAGCTACAGTAGGTTATTTGATATAATGATTATATATGATCATGTACATAGATAATGTGTTGGACCTGGTCTTTGGGTGTTAAGTGAATTTCGTTATATGGGTAAACTTTGTATACACGTACAATGACAATAAAGTTATTATTTTGTTTTTATTATTAGAGATATTAAGCAATGTAATGCTGGAATTATTTAATTAACTTTTATTGAAAGCAAAAATGCCAGACTCGTGGATAGAGTCTGTATGTAACACTCATACCTAAAGAAGATTCAGATTTGAAATTAATAAAAAACTATACACCGATTTCATTGTTAAATGTGGATTATAAGGTTTTTACTTCAATAATGGCAAACAGGCTAAAGAAACTATTAAATGAATTTATTCATATGGATCAAAATGGGTTCTTACCTAAAAGGCAAATTAGAGATAATATGAGGATAATTTGGAATACTTTGGAGTATTATGAGACACACTGAGAAAAACAAATGGTAATGATATTTCTCAATGCACAGAAAGCTTTTGATAATATGAACTGGCAGTTTATGATAAAGCAACTACAAATAATGGCTTTTGGGGAGAGATTCATGAATACTGTAAAAACAATATATAACAAACAATCAGCCAAGATAATGATGAATGGAGAGATCACAGAAAAAGTTAATATAACAAAAGGAACAAGGCAAGGATGTCTGCTATCCCCACTGTTATTCGTATTGAGTTTAGAAGTGTTAAATAGAAATATAAGACAGAATGAAGAAATAAAAGGGATAAAAATTAAAAAAGAGGAATATAAATTACAAGCCTTTGCGGATGATTTAGTATTTATTCTGGAAGAACCACAAAAGACAGGACTTAAACTACTAAAACAAATAGAAGAATATGGAGAGGTTGCAGGTTTAAAAAATAAATAAAGAAAAAACAAAAATATTGGTGAAAAATACTACAGAAAAACAAAAAAGAGAATTTTAATGGAAAAATTAGACATACAAATTGTGAAAAAAGTAAGATATTTAGGAATACAACTAACTTCAAGATGTGCAACGATAAAAGAGGACAATTATTATAACTTAAAATTGAGAAAGATTTGAAAAAATGGAAAACCTTGCAGTTATCACTAATGGGGAAGATTGCAATAATCAAAATGAACATATTACCGAGATTATTATTTCTATTCTATTCCAATAAAAATTGAAAAGACCTATTTTCAGCACCTCAACAAAATAATGCTTATCTGGCAGGGGGAAAAGGTGAGAATTAATATAAAGATGTTACTAGATGCAAGAATAAGGGGAGGTTTTGGACTGCCGAACTGGGAATTATATTATCAGGCAGCAGCATTGACTTGGATGAAGGAATGGATTGAATTAAGAAATACAAGATTACTAACTTTGGAAGGACATGATTTACAATTGGGATGGCAT